CTCGCTCTGTCTCTGTCTCTCTCAAAAATAAAGATTAAAAAAAACTTAAAAAAAAAACATTATCTCCAAACAAAAAACATATCTCTATCTATTGTATAGACATAATTCCTGCCATCAGAATAAAAGCATTCACCCCCAGATTCAAAGGACTTGCAGACTGAAACTTCTCAGGTTGCCACAGGCATCTAACACAAAACATAATGATTCTTCCCACTTCTTGATTATGAGTTTGTTAGCAGAAAATATTCCCTCTCCCCACCCCACCGTTTTTTGTTTTTTTTTTTCCAGTAAAAGGAGAGCGGGAAATTCCTTTACTCCTGGGCAAGGACATAACTTTAGAACATAAGCAGTTGGCCCATAGGCAGACTTGAATCCCTGCTAAGTGACTTGGATGGATGTGGATATCTTTTCCCATTTTTTGTCAGCCTAACTAACGCATGTGACATTGTAAAAATACTTGTGAGCCAGGATCTACATTGCCTTTCCCGGACATAACATGGGGCATCATCTAACCTACCCAGGCTGTCCTTACGTGGTTGAGGGACTCTGGGGTCCGGGGGCCAGCTGCCGTGTCCCCAGAGGTCCCAAAGAAACAGGTGACCTAGGATGATGCCAAGAGCCTGTCAGTAAAGAAAAGCAACAAATAAAATAAAAACCCTTTACTTCTACTTTGAGAAGTCACTGTATGTTTGACACTCTCTTGTAGGGTCTGCCTCTCGTCCTCACCAGTACCCTCGAGAGCATATTATTTTTATTATCAATTTGTATGTTTGCAAGTAATACATATTTCCCATCTCCACTTTAAAAGTTAGAATGTTACAAATCAAGGTCCCTTTGGCACTATTCCTTTTCTCTGCCCCCCAGCTAACTATTGAAGGGTATCCTTCTTGATCTTTTTTTCTTTTTTAAGTTTATTTATTTATTTTGAGAGAGAGAGTGTGTGTGTGCACACATGGGAGGGAGTGGGGGAGAGATGGGAGGGTAGAGAATCCCAAGCAGTTTCTGCACGGTCAGTGCAGAGCCCAGTGTGGGGCTCAGACTCACGAACGGTGAGATCATGACCTGAGCTGAAATCAAGAATCAGATGCTTAACTGACTGAACCATTCAGGCACCCTTTGACCTTTTGAGATACTTTCACATACTTATTTAAGTGCCCACAGGAATTATATAGTACTTTTAATAGTACAATAGTACTTTTGTTTTAGAATTTTTAAATTAAGAATACGTAATCTGCACGTTGTTATGTAATTTTATTTTTCATGCAGTACTTTTAAATTTTTTTTTTCAACGTTTTTTATTTTATTTTTGGGACAGAGAGAGACAGAGCATGAATGGGGGAGGGGCAGAGAGAGAGGGAGACACAGAATCGGAAACAGGCTCCAGGCTCCGAGCCATCAGCCCAGAGCCTGACGCGGGGCTCGAACTCATGGACCGCGAGATCGTGACCTGGCTGAAGTTGGACGCTCAACCGACTGTGCCACCCAGGCGCCCCTTCATGCAGTACTTTTTATCTGCTGTGTAGTATTCTGTCTTATGACTGTATTGTATTTTTTACTCCATTTCCCCTTTGATGGACACCAAAGTTGTTTCCAGTTATTCGCTATTAGACATAAGGCTGCATAGAATACCCTTGTTCATAGACTCCCTGTGAAATGTGTGAGTGTTTCTCTAGGAGAGATACCAGGAAGTATTATTGCTGGGTCATGGAGTATTTATCTTACAGGGAGGTATGACTTATTCTCATTTCATAGATAAGGAAACGGAAGTTCAGAGAGGTAGAGTGACTTGCCCAGGGCCACACAGCAGGGAGAAGCAGAGGTGGAAATGAAATGCAGGTCTATGGGATTCCAGAACCCAAGTCTTTTGCATCATGCACTGTTTCCTTCCAGAGCCTCAGACATGTCTCTTCTCTGTCTCTTTCTCATTCACACTACTCAGATCTCCACGTACATTACAGTACCCCCATCCCCGCTGATCCAGACGCTGGTGCAGGGAAACATCTTGGTGAGCGATGATGTGCTCATGTCTGCCATGTCAGCCTTCACGTCTCTGGACCAGCCCATGCCCCAGGGCCCCCCACCCGTGCAGGTAAGGACAGGGCCAGCTTCTCAGGGGGTCTTGATTCCAGGACTACATGTTAACTGCTATGGATTCAGAACCTTGTAGAAAGAAGAGGGGTTGGCCTTCGCTCTCTCTCATGCTGGAGAGAGACTGTCAGTAGCACCTTGGCCTGCCCCACTGTGGGTAGGGAAGCTGTCATTTCATTCGGGATCCAGAACATTACTTTGGGGTTTCATTGCCATTATCTGGCTACTTTGACTCCTTTTTTTTTTTTTTTT